GTACCGCAGGGCGCCCTCGGGGTCGCCGCCAACGTCGCCAGCCAAGTCCGCCAGCTGCTCCGCGGCGGCGACCCCGAGGGCGCCCTGCGGTACGTTCTCGACACCGCCCCGCTGGGCGGAGACGATCGCGCCAAGGAGGTGCACATGGCTACCGTTGTGGATGTGCTGCAGGGGATCCGCCAGGGGGAGATGACCCGCGTGCTGGAGGGGGTATGTAGCGGGGAGGGCGGATCGGAGAGGGCGGATTGCTTGATGAAGTATTTGTAGGTTGCCGTTGCCGTTGCCGTTGCCGTTGCCGCTGCCCTTGAGGCTTGCGTTACAGTACAGCTGGGAGATCCCAATGCTAATGGTTGAGCTAGATACAAGGGAATGGCTGCTCCGGCTCCTGGTGGCGGTGCGCCGTCGCCTCGGAAGTCGGTGTCTCCGCAGAGCACGGGGTTTTCGCAGATTCAGGCCCGGAATCTGGGTGAGGGTGGTAGCGCGCAGCAGATGAGTGTGTTGCTGAGCTGGCATGAGAAGTTGGTTGAGCTTACGGGTACCGGGTCGATTGTCCGAGTTATGACGGATCGGAGGACGGTTTAAGGGTTGTGGAGCGGGCATTGGCAAGATGGGACAATTAGGAATGTACTTGAAAAGATAAGGGTGCTTTTTTCTTTTCTACTCTTCTGAGAAGTCGAGCTGTGGTTCCTCGTGTGTTGCGAATGGGTGATATCCTTGTTAGATTGCTCAGCTTCTATTATACATATCGCTTTGTGTATAGCTTTTTTTTCCGTTCGAGACCGTTCGCTCAAGTACCATTATGGCTTATCGAAGGAACCGCCTCCAAGGATGTCCTTCAAATTAACCTGCCCACTGCCTCTCTGCAACGGTTGCGCCTGGCCTTCTCCTTCCTTCCATCCGATCATGTATATCAGCCGGAATGTGGCGGGGATGCCCCTCGATCCTTCCTCCTTATGCAGCTCCCGGTAAATCGCCTCGTTGGCCAAGAGTACATCGCGCGAGATAGGCCCCAACTCCCGATGCAAAATGGCATTATTCTCCCCCATCGCCTGAAGATCCTGCATGAGCGCAAAAGTGTCCGGGAATTCGACCACGATATCCTCTACGTCCACTGTCAACATCTTGAATCCGGCCTTGTTCAGCAGCCCGCCGACATCCCGTACGTCCGCGAGAGGGGACACATGCGGGCTGACGCCACCTCGCCGCTCGAGGTCCGCCAGCTGCAGCGAGGTGCGCAGCTCGAATAGCGTGTCGCCGCCGAACATGGCCGCGATGAAGGGGCAGTCCGGCTTAAGGATGCTGTTCACCTGTGCCAGGAGAGAGGGAAGGTCGTTGATCCAGTGGATGGAAAGGGAGGAGAGTACCGCGTCGAAGGTGTTGGGTTCGTAGGGCAGGGTCTCGAGGTCTGGAACGACTTGCCGCTCGAGATTGATCCCATTGTTGAAGGGCTCGTCTGCGTCCCGGTAGAGGAGGGCGTGTGACGTGTCGATGCAGGTGAGTTTGGAGATCTTGTCCGCTAGAGGCGGCGATGTTTCGGTGCTGGGGTCGGGGTTTGGTGTTGTCAGGGCGCGAGCGATGTTGCAGCTGTTGGCGCCTAGGTCAAGGACATTGGGGAAATCTCGTTTGATATCCTGCACGACCAAAGGTTAGCGATATCCTTCAAGGACTAGAGCAGAGAGGCTTGCCAGTAGCCGTTCACACAACCGTGTAGCCACCTCATCTTTGATGTAGTCGGTTTTTCTGCTCTCGTCTACATTCCGAGCTGCGCGATCTTTTTGGAGATGCTTGACTTTTCGGTTGAACACCTCGAAGACTGGATTGCCGGGGGTCTGGCTGGCGTAGCTCCTCGTTGCAGTGTACGAGGCCTGTGACCGGACCGCTCGATGAAATATATGGCGGAGTGACATTGTGATCTGCGAGTATATGAATTGACTGTCAGATATCAAGTCTGTGGCATTCCGAGATTTGATATTCGGTTCGGAGATGCAATTGAGGGGCTGGAATGTAGATGCGATCGAACAGTCAAGCTGTCGGCAGGTGACGTCGATTGTATTTTCTGTTCAGTGGAACTCCGCAATTTCGCGTTGCGACAAAAACATCTTTATCCCCGGAGCGTGCCAACGCCTGGTCTCTTGTCCGCATTTGAGCAACGCAGTTGGTGGAGGATTATCTCGCTGGCATGAATTATTGAAAAATCCATATGCATTGGAAGTGATGCTCTTTAATTGTGAGATTGTCCCCGCTGTGGAATACAGATCGCCCACCGACAGTGATGGCTAATCGTCACAGGAGTAGGCTCATATCGTATCAAGGTGCTCCTGGAATTATGTTCAATTACTCCGTATAAGACATCATTTCGGCTCGCGGCGAACCTAATACAGACTTGATCTTCTCCGATCTAGAAAACCTTCCTTCAACATGTCGCGCCCTTTCCCCTATACCTATATCTCGTGTCCATGTGCGGATACCCCTGTTCCTGATCGTTCCAGAAAACGAAGATCGCGAGAGTCTCCTCACAAAAAACCAGAACAGGGAGACCCTTCAACAGCAGCGGATACCGATGAGGAGGAGGAGGAGCAGACATTCGACCCCCGATCTCCGCGTTCCAACTTCTCTCTGTATCCTCCGGAACAGCTGCTGTACTGTGAGGACTGCCATCAGATAAAATGTCCGCGATGCATCACAGAGGAGATTGTGTGCTGGTATTGTCCAAACTGTCTGTTTGAGACACCGAGCAGCATGGTTCGAAGTGAGGGTAATAGGTGGGTGCCATCGGGTCCTGTTTCGCCAGTAGTTCCCCGCTGAAGAGCTGCTTGCTCCGGTTAGATGTGCCAGGAATTGCTTCAACTGCCCCGTATGTACTGCGCCTCTTGCCGTCAACACTCTCGAAAATGTCACGGGAAGCGAAGGCCAACAAGGACCGTGGGTGCTCTCGTGTGCATATTGCATGTGGTCATCTCTAGACATCGGCATCAAATTCGACAAGCCCACCAACATCTGCGCACAGCTTTCCAAGATGACCGACACGACCGCTCGGGGTAGACAGATGTCCAAAACCGTGGGTGAGCTCAAGTCTCCGTTGTCCACGTTCTCCACCATCGACGATCAATTTCCGCTCCCAGGAGAAAGCAGAGATGGTCAATCTACGCCATCCGGCGACCAGTCTGCAGCTCCTTTGACTTCGGACGGGAGGTTCGCCGCGCTCAAGACATTTTACAAAGACCAGATAGCTGCGACGTCCACATCGCCCACAGACCCGTTGGGTGCCGACTTTGGACCCGGCTTTGCTTCACCTGGTGCTCTAAACCGTATAATGTCCCTCTATGCGGCGTCAGCACGGCTCAGCAATCTCTACGGTGGTGCCAACAAGAAACCTAAAACAAAGCCTCCAGTCATGAGAGAAGCTCTGACCGCCAGCGAGGGTCTGAGAGTCCCGGCTCCCGATGCAGAAGACGCCATCATCCAGCGGATTGCCTCGGAAGAATGTGGCTGGGACGGCGTCGCGTCGATCGAGCAGCGCATGTTCCAGTCCTCCGATGCTCGGTTCGTGGAGGACCTTCTCCCTTTACCAGTATTACTCCGAACCAAGCGCTCGAAACGTTGCAAGTCGTGCAAGCACATCCTCGTCAAGCCCGAGGTCAAACCACAGTCCACCCGGTTTCGCATCCGTCTCATTGCCCTCAGCTACATACCTTTACCGACTCTACGACCTCTAGCGCTGGGACCGCCTACCGGCCTCCCAGCAATATCACCTTCGACATCCATTTCAACTCCTAACCTAGACGCCTTACCCCCGCTGAAACCCATCCAGCTTCTTCTAACCCTCAAAAACCACATGTTCGACCCGGTCCGGGTAACACTCGCCACGCCTTCAGTAACCCCGGGCCGCGTAGCCACAAAAGTCACAATCCTCTGCCCGCAATTCGACATCGGAGCCAACAGTGACGTCTGGGATGAAGCCCTGCAGGGCACAGCAGGAGACCAGCGCTCCTCCCGCTCCGGCGGGATGAACCTCGGGTACGAGAAAGTCGCAGAGGCAGGCAAAGTCTGGGACAAGGGGCGGAACTGGACGACCGTCGTCCTGGAAGTTGTGCCTGGAACATTACCCGGCGGCAGTCTAAGGACCCGCAGACGGCAATCTCTCGGTAATGATGACGACGAGGACGGGGATAGCAGCCACAGCATCGACGATGATGACGAAAGCGACTACCCCAAGAATAATAACACCAATGCCAGCCTCGACTGGAGCGGACAGGCCAAAGACCCCAAGAGCCAGCTACAGCCCGACGAAGACGTCCTCGAGATCCCGGTCTTTGTTCGTATGGAATGGGACTCGGAGAATCAGATGGAGCAAGCCGCCGGAAAGGGGCAGAACTCCGATACGGTCAAGCGAGAACTGGCATATTGGATGGTGTTGGGGGTTGGCCGAATCACGGCAGAGATTGCATAGTTGGCATTACTGGTGGATACATCTATATACTCCGTAGATAGTTCACATGCCCATTTGTGTTGGTCTTTGGGTATATACGGAGTAATTTGGAGCTGCTTAGGTGTTCACATAGTAAGAAATACTTTGCTTCCTGTACCCCATGCAAGACAACTCGAAAGCGCAATGCTGGATAGATGGTGGCTGAATGGCTGAATGTCAGCATGACTGACCTACGATGGCATAGAGGTGGCGGCCAGGTTTGAACTTGAACCGAAGCTCTTGCGATGGATTGCTATCGACGTCGAAGTCATAGTATCATGGATAGATCGGAAGAGAGAAGAAAGGGTAGAAATAAAGAGTCTTTTTAACCACGCCGGAAAGAAAAAGCCTGGAACCAGTAGATCATGATTTTTTTATTATCACATCGCATCCTTTCATTTCAGGAACCTTTACCCTTGTACCCGAGAACCAGATCAAGCTACCCCATCGCAGAAGGGCCATGATGAGAATGCATATTTTGTGTGCGTGGGAAAAAAAAGTCAACCTTTCTTATTCCTTTCTCTCTCTCTCTTGAGAACCCGCCCCCGACACGAGTCCCACCAGGACCCCCTCCGTGTGCACTCGCTTTATTTACCTAAACCACATGCTTCTGATAAGGATAAATAAATCTAGTACTCGGCGGCACCGCTCTGGGGGAACTCGAAGACAACAGAGCGGCCGGTTAGTCGGCGGTAGACCTCGCCGTAGGCATCGAGTCTGTGGTCAACACCGCCACGCTCCTTCTCGTCCAGGATGACCTTGAGAGTCTTGCTGCCGTCCTCCTTGGTGCGGATACGCTTGCCGACGATCTCGACGGGGTAAACGAGGTCGGTGAGGATGGCGTCGTGGACAGCGGTCAGGGTGCGAGAGCGAGGGCGCTTCTGCTTCTGGTTGGTGCGGGAGTTGACAGAGCGCTTGGGGCGGGGCAGGATGCGGCGCTGAGCAACGAAGAGGACGTGGCGGTCGGAGAACTTCTTCTCGAGCTCACGGGTCAGGCTATACAGATTGTGCGTGTCAGTATTCGTCTTTTCCTGCTGATCATCTGCTGTGATGCTGGCATTCGTACCGCTGCTGGATCTTGTGGAAGCCCTGGAGGAGAGGGACGGGGACGAAG